CACACACACACACACACACACACACACACACACACACACACACACACACACACACACACACACACAAAAACCTAGAGAAAATGGTCAGGTATTACAAAGAAGTGAAGAAGCAGTTAAGAAATAGGACTTTTGAAATACGAGATCATTTTAAGGGTTACAATAAAGTTTCAGATCCTGGTAGTGAGTTGGATCAGAGGCCGGAGAATGATGCCGGACAGACCCAAACGTGTAGTGAGGGGGTTTGCTGGGAACGTTTGGCAGAAAAACCCATCATAAAGATCTTCAATTCACATCTCCAGAAGAGATTTAACCGCATCCCAGCTGAGACGGGGGACGCTGAGTCTGAGTGGGACATGTTCTGCGCCTCAATTGTTGAGGTAGCTGCCTTGAGCGGTTGCCACAAAGTTGTTGGTGCTTCTTGTGGTGGCCATCCTTGAACTCGGTGATGGACACCCTGGGTTAGCGTGGCTGTCAAGCTGAAGGAATTCTATGGGGCCTTGTTGGCTGGTGGGACTCCAGAGGCAGTTGAGGAGTACCAGAGGGCCAAGCGGTCCGCAGCCTTGGCTGTTGCGGAGGCAAAAGCTCAGATGTGGGAGGAGTTCAGGGAGGACTTGGAAAAAGTCTCTCATTCAGCTCCGAGGAGATTCTGGCAAACCGTCAGGTGGCTGAGGAGGGGAAAGCAGCACTTTACCAACACTGTTTTCAGTGAAGCTGGGGTGTCGTTGACCTCAACCAGTGATGATGTTGGGAGGTAGAAGGAATACTTCTCAGACTTTCTCAATCACACCAGCAAGTCTTACATCGAGGAAGCTGATTTGTGGGACTTCGGGGTTAGTCTGTCCATAACCGTAGCTGAGGTTGTCGAGGTAGTTAAAAAACTCCACGGCGGCAGGGTTCCAGGGGTGGATGAGATTTACCCTGATTTCCTTAAGGCTATGGATGTTGTGGGGCTGTCATGGTTGACACACCTTTGCAACGTCGCGTTGACATGGAGGTCAGCGCCACTGGACTGGTAGACTGGAGTGGTGGCTCTCCTCTTTAAATAGGGGGACCAGAGGGTGTGCTCCTCTTACAAAGGCATCACTCTTCTTATCCTTCTTGGTAAGGACTATTCAGGGGTACTGGAGAAGCGAATCTGATCGTTGGTAGAACCTCGATTCAGGAGGAACAATGCAGGTTCTGTCCTGGCTGTGGAACACTGGATCAGCTCTTTACCCTCACTAGGGTCCGTGAGGGGTCATGGGAGTTTGCCCATCCAGTACACATGTGTTTTGTGGACTTGAAGGCTTTCAACTGTGTTCCTCGACGTGCTGGAGAAACTATGCCTTTCAGTTGGCCTGGGAACGCCTTGGGGTCCTCCTAGAAGAGGTGGCTGTGGAAAGCGACATCTGGACCTCTCTGCTCAAGCGGCTGCCCCCGTGACCCGACTTCAGAACAAGCGGAAAATAATGGATGGACAATAAAGTTACGTCTCTTGGGAAGTAAAATACAAAGTAACTTGGTTATTTAAAGTTTTACACAGTACTGTACAACAGAAGGTTTGATCAATATCCAATTAGGTTGGAGGAGAGAGAGATAAATAAACGTTTAAGAACTTTCCAAACTAGAACAGAGTCTTTGCAGATAAAATTCACTCAAGTTCTGTATTAACAGGAAACATCTGCTTCTTACTATCATCAGTGTCATAGAAATGTATTAATGTATTACATATGAATGCACTATGCAATATGTTTTACTGTACACTCCATAAGTCCTTATTTGACTCTGCATCATTGTGATCTGAATTTGATGCTCCGGTATCACTGTCAAGGTAAGAAACCTTGAAAATGTTTTACTTTTCTCCCTGGACTCAGACAGGTTCAGTTGGTTCTGGTAAACGCTAAGCTGAGATGGAGTGGATGGGGGAGGCACATGAGCTCTTGTAAAAATATTTCACTTCAGGAAGTTAGGACAGAATTTATTGAGAGTCTGTGCTTGTGATGCATTGACTTTCTGTGAGTTTAGCTACTCTCCAAAGCTTTGCAATAAATTTGATGGTTTATAACTGATCATCTGTGGATTCGTTTTTTCCTAAGACACAAAACATTTTTATTATTATCCAAGCACATCCTAAACAGACTGATTGGATCAGAACACGCGAGCACAAGGAGTTATTCACCAACTGTTTGAATTATCAGCTGGTTTTGTTGGTCTGAGGTCACCAGAGTAAAAATAAATGTAGATATCAGCTCTTACTTTGATAGTGAAGTCAGCTCCAAGAGGACCAGTGACTCTGAGGACCTCCTTATCAGAAAGCTTCTGGTAGTCCAAAGTGGTGTTTTCTAGGTGGTACTGACCCGACTGGTCCAGCATCAGTTCAGTTCTCACCCCCTGTAGAGTCTTACTCTCCACGTCTGAAGAGGAAAGGAGGAAAAACCAACTAAAACAGACTGAACTCCATAGAGGTACAACAGACTGGGAGGACCACGGTGTTTGAATTTCCACAAAGTTCAAAGTAAAAACTTCAGTTTTTCTTTGCTGAAATTGTCAGAACATCTTCGTAGCCCACCTCTAATATCCTCTTGGTCGTTTTTCATCATCAACGTCTCACTGTTCTTCAAACAAAGTTAAGGCGCACGTAGAAAAATGTGATTAAAATATCCAACTCCTCAAAGGTTTACTTTGATTTATCAGAGACCACACACAGATCTGCAGTTGGAGCCACTAAAAGCGCCGTCTGGCTTTTACATTTAGGGCCAAGAGTCTCCCAAAGCTCTGCCAGGAGCAGCTCTGTGGGAAGAGTTTGTTTTCCCCCCTCTGTTTGACCTGACCTCACCTCTGACACTAACCCTAACAGGGCTCTGTGTAATTCCAGCGTGAACCTTTAAAGGAAAAAAACAACAGCAAAACATGAGAACCAGCAGCTGACAACCTCCGAAGACAAATGGTTTAAATTTAAGTGCTTTGAAGCAAAGAAAACAGTGGGAAATGTTCAACTGTCCACTCAATTACCTGTAATTTGTCGACGAAATTCGGAACAACACAGCGGGTACAGAGAGAAGACAACTTTGACGTCAGTGATATAATCTGGAAGGCTTACATCTTCTCAGAGCCAGAACGAACAAAAAAAAAAAACAATTAGCCGTAATTGAATGATCTCGTTGCAACGGCACCTGGTGGTGGGTGGTATAAATCAGACAGCAAGTGAACGATCTGTTCGTGAAAGTTGATGGGTTGGAAAGGAAAAAAAGGAGCAAAAGTAGATATGTAGAAACGAGCCAATTGGTGGTCGTTATTGATGCTCCTCTGCTGCGGCTCTGGTGGGATTAGACTGCAGAAGTCTGGACCAACCAGCGAGGATCCAAGACTCAATGAAGCGCATGAAAGCTGAAGGCTAAGCCGTGGCGTTTGTTCCACTAGAAGAGCGTCAGTTTGGAGACATGTCAAGGCCGTGAGAACTTGGCGTGCTGAGGGTGGTACAGCATGGTAACAACGTGTAAAAAAGCGGGAATTAAGTTCCCATTCTGTTGCATCCCTGTTCGAGCCCACACAGCCAGAACCCTCCATGTAAAACACTTTTCCATATCTACAAGAAACACAGTTGAACCCAACTGATGAGCTAACAGCTAGGCCAACCAGAGCTGAGACCACAGGGGATTCCTGCAGATTTTAAACAACTGCAATTCTAATTAAAAACTAGTTCAGTCAACTTATGACCCAGTATTTGGCATTAAAACAACTAAAATAAAACATCGCTGTCAATCGGTTTAGATGGAGGGGCACCCCAGACCTACCAGGACTTACACAAGTGATCCGGGCCTTTCAGAACCAGGCGGACATGACGACTCTTAAAGGGAATGACGACCACCGTGTCTTCAGCTGGAGTGGGACAGAGAAAACCACGTAACAATGTTGCAAATTATTACATGCAGGACTGCATACCTGTGGCTGCTCTGGTGACGTTAGCAAAGAACCCCCCCATTCAAGCAGATAATGCTAATAATGATAATGTTAACCGATTTAATATGAACAAAATAGTAAAAGTGATGGAAATAAGCAGCATTACAGCATTTCCAATTAAAAAACAAAACAAAAATCATAAAACAAAGGAGATAACCAAGACAAGAATCTTTACCTTTCCCCGTAGCATGCTGGGATTTGTAATGTCCTCGCACAAGTCTGCAGGATGAGCCATCTCCGCTGCAGATGCCACAGTTGTCCTCCTTCACTGAGCTCCCCAGTTCATGATCACAGCCGACAATCTGCATCTCACAGAAACGGAAAAACAAAAGTGACACAAAGATGAATCCATGATTTCTAGAGCCTTCACGATCACCTGTTGTAGCTGTTCGGCTACCACACATTCCACAATTTACCGGGTAGTCCCATTTGTTCAGCTATATGTGCTGCCATGCACATTTATTAGAAAATTACTTTTATTTATTTATTTATTTTTGTGTTTTCTGACCATAAGACAAAAAACAAAACCACAACATTGCTCTAAGCTCGGTCAAATGTGTGTCCAAGCACACACACACACACACTCACTCATAAAAAGCCTTGGGATGTATTTCCATTCAACTGAGGAAAAACTGCATTGTAAACTATTTCCTGAGTGGTCAGTCAAAAGCCACATCTCTGAAATTATTCTCATTGTGTATTCATGAGTGAAGCAGATGGTATGAGATATATTTCAGCCTCCTGTGAAATTAGTCCTCATGGATTTCTTTCTTTTTTAAGCTTCTGTGTAAAAATGCAAACTCGTGGGATTCATTTTGAACCGGAGCGTGTGAATAACTGAATATGCTCAATTCAGTCTTATAAAAAACGTAATCTTTTGCAGGATCAGATCACCATTTTCTGAGGTTCATGTTACAGTTTAAAGCATGCCTCTGTTTTTATTAGAGATTGACAATTTTTGACTCATGCCTTAAGGGGTCTCTTGACTACTTGCACATACTGGCCTTAATATGTTATTTCTCCGTTATACTAAAAATGTATGTTTGTGACACTTGAAAATTCCCATTTACTTAAAAAATTTATACGTTTATTACATTTTTCACCTAAAGATGTCGCCATTATTTACCAGCACAATGGATTCTGGGGTAACGATGTACATCGGTTGTAGTGGAGACTAAAGCACAGAGTCAACGCTAAAAAGTTATAACGTGACAATAAAAGTATATTTTGTATTAGTCCTTATGCACAATATATGTTGAAATAAACGTGATCAACTTGTGATGTTTACTTTATTGGCTCTGGAGCTAACGCTATTAGCTCTGGACTGGAACTAATATTTATCCTAACTCGGGACCTCGCGCCATATATATTAGCTTTGGAGCTAATGTTATTAGCTCTGAAAATAATGCTATTAGCTCCGGAACTAACAACACATATATAATAGCTCTGGAACTAATGTTATTATCTCTGAAAAGAACACAATTAGCTCCGGAACTAATGTCATATATATATTAGCACTGGAGCTAACACTATTAGCTCTGGAGCTAACTATTTATACTAACTCTGGAGCTTGCACTATATAGCCTATATTAGCTTTGGAGCAAATGCTCTGAAAATAACGCTACTGGAACTAATGTCATACATTAGCTTTGGAGCTAATGTTATTAGCTCTGAAAAAAATGCTATTAGCTCCGAAACTAACATCACATATATAATAGCTCTGGAGCTAATGCTATTAGCTCTGAAAATAACGCTATTAGCTCTGGAGCTAACTCTATTTATACTAACTCTGGAGCTTGCACTATATAGCCTACATTAGCTTTGGAGCAAATGCTATTAGCTCTGAAAATAACGCTATTAGCTCTGGAACTAACGTCATATATTAGCTTTGGAGCTAATGTTATTAGCTCTGAAAAGAACACCATTAGCTCCGGAACTAATGTCATATATATATATATTAGCTATGGAGCTAATACAGTATATATTAGCTCTGGAGCTAACTCTATTTATACTAACTCTGGAGCTCGTACTGTATAGCCTATATCAGAGTCAGAGAGTCAGAGTCAGAGTTTCTTTATTGTCATTCGCACCTCATGTGGTACATGTGGTGGAGCGAAATTATGTACACAGGGTCCCAGTTACATCCAACAATAAAATGTATAAGAAAAACAGTAATAACATCTAAGATATGAACTAAGAAAAACATCAGCTAAATATACACTAAGCACTCATAACATAAAACATTGAACATCACCACAAACATGAACATGAGTCTGTGAGCAGATGTGCATGCATGAACACATCAACATTGAAACAGATCAGCAGCAACATGAAACAGATCAGCAGCAACATGATATGGTTTTTCACAGTGATTATTCTAGTTAGAGATTCATGAGTCTAACAGCCTCAGGGTAGAAGCTGTTCCTCAGTCTAGTGGTTCTACACTTAATGCTCCTTAACCTCCTTCCTGAGGGGAGTGGGGCAAAAAGTGTGTGTGCTGGGTGGGTGGGGTCCTTCATGATGCAGGTAGCCCTCTTCCTGCATCTGGAGGTGTAGATGTCTGTGATGGTGGGGAGACTGACTCCAACAGATTTCTGTGCAGCCTTCACCACTCTCTGCAAAGCTTTTCTTTCTGCAGCTGTGCAGCCTCCATGCCACACATTGATGCTGGAGCACAGGATGCTCTCCACTGCACATTGATGTGAAGGTTATTCTCTCTGCACCAGCTCTCCAGGTGTTCCACCTCCTGCCTGTAGCTGGACTCATCATTGTTTGTGATGCATCCCACCACCGCTGTATCATCTGCAAACTTTACAATGTGACAGCCTGGATGGGTAGCTGCACAATCATATGTGAGCAGAGTAAACAGGAGGGGGCTCAACACACATCCCTGAGGAGAGCCAGTGCTGAGGGTTATGGTGGAGGAGGAGAGGTTGTGGATCCTCACTAACTGTGGTCTGTTTGTTAAAAAGTCTAGTACCCAGTTGCAGATGGAGGGGCTTAGTCCTAGTGTGGATACTTTGTCCATCAGGGTTTGGGGGATCATGGTGTTGAAGGCGGATGTGAAGTCCACAAAGAGCATACGGACGTAAGAGTTTTTCTGCTCCAGGTGGTTGAGTGCAGTGTGGACTACAGAGGAGATTGCATCCTCTGTTGATCGGTTCTCACGGTATGCGTACTGATGAGGGTCCTCGTTGATGTTGATGGTTGTTTTGATGTGAGTCATGACCAGTTTTTCAAAGCATTTAGCGACTATCGGGGTGAGGGCCACTGGCCGATAGTCATTCAGACCAGTCACTGTAGAGCTTTTTGGGACTGGGATGATGGTGGCAGTCTTCAGGCAGGTGGGAACTGTCTCCAGGGTAAGTGAGGTGTTAAAGATGTCTGCCAGCACCTCACAGAGCTGATCAGCACATTCCTTCAACACTTTTCCGGGGATGTTGTCTGGGCCAGTTGCTTTGTGCGGATTAATCCTCCTGAAGGTACTCCTTACTTCTGCTGAGGTCACGCTGAGATGCTCTTCATCCGGTGGTGAGGTGAGTCTGGTGCTGGGTGGTCTGTTCGGGTCTTCAAAGCGTGCATAGAACTTGTTGAGGGCATCAGGCAGAGATGGGTCTTTGGGGCATTGTTCACTCCTTCCTTTATAATCTGTTATGCACTTAATGCCCCTCCACATGCTCCGAGGGTCTTGTGAGATGAATTGACCCTCGATCCTCTGTGCATATGTGGCCTTGGCCCTCTTAATACCAGCAACCAGCTCTTTTCTTGTCCTACTCAGCTCCTCTGAGTTTCCAGACCTGAAGGCAGTGTTCCTGGCTTCCAGCAGGGTACGCACCTCTGCATTCAGCCAAGGTTTTCTGTTTGGGTAGCTTTTAACATTTCTGATAGTGGAGACTGTGTCAGTACATGTACTAATGTAACCCAGTACTGAGGATGTGTATTGGTCAAGATCAAGCGAACCTCCATTTTCAGCAGCTTCTCTGAAAACCTGCCAGTCTGTTCGATCAAAACAATCTCTCAGTATGGGGCCACTGTCCTGGATCCAACATTTAACTTTCTTTTGTACCGGTCTGGAGCGTCTCAGCGGGGGCATGTAAGCAGGAGCCAGGAAGATTGAGATGTGGTCTGACAGTCCTAGGTGGGGGCGGGGTTCGGCTTTGTATGCATCTTTTACGTTCGTGTAAACACGGTCCAGCGTGCGGTCTCCACGTGTCGGAATCGTCACATGCTGATTAAAGCTTGGGAGACAGTCCTTTAGATTCACGTGGTTAAAGTCTCCGGCTACCACGTAAAGAGCGTTGGAGCTAATGCTATTAGCTCTGAAAATAACAATATTAGCTCTGGAGCCAACGCTATATGTTCTGGAGCTTACACAAGTTTATTCTCATATGTCTACCCACAAACATGGGTCTGTGAAGAAGCAGGACATAAAATGACACCATCTGTGTCTCATTACATTATTTAAAAATTATAAAAACTAAACAGCCTATATTATTTTTATGGTCTTGTTTTAATAGCTGAAGAAATTGTTTATCAAATGAGTTCTTTCATTGAAACTAGATGGAGATTCCTTTAATTGGAAACTATTTTAATTAACTTGTTAGTTGAAAAAATATCTGAAGGGGCAAATTAGAGGTACAGTATGTGTTTGACAAAATGCACATTTTGACACTTAATGAAAGAATAATAACAAAATCCTTCCTAATGACCAAAAGCAAACAAGCTCTATGGCCCTTTGCCCCACCTGGCAGACTCCACTGATGCACATGTCCAAGGACTCGGTGTAACAGCGTGTCCCATCCAACACTTTAGGCGCCAGCTCCACCACAAGGCCCGAATCATTAGCTTTACACTTGAGAGAGCAAGGGTCGTCTGGATCATTGTAGACCGGCAGCCAGTCGTGCAACTGACCTTGGTATCGCACATCTGCATGTGCTGAACATTGCTGAGCCCGGAAGTCCCCAGCATCTGGAGAGCAGTCCTGAAGGGAACATCAACAAATAGGAATGTGGTGAAACATATGACTTAATTTTGTTGTGGTAAGGCAATGATTATCTATGAAAACTAAAAAAATACATTGTTGTATGGTTTAACACCTCCTTAAACATAATGTTTGATATTTTCAATGTTCCATTCTTAAACCCCACATTTTCCATTCCACCCTCCCACACTTTATAAACCACTTTAAAGTTCTTTAAACATCCATTACATAAAGATGAGTTTGCAGAACTTACCACATTACTGCATGTGCGATATTTGATATTCTGCCCTTCACAAGTCCTGCAGAGGACAAAAATGCAAACTAATCATCTGCATCACAATATAGCTTGTATCAATGTTGTGATTTGTTTTTTAAATTACTGAGCACTGAATGCACATTGGTTATGTGTCAACCCACAAACACGGGCCTGTGGAGAAGTTGGATAGCTCTAGCAGCAACATTCACGCGTGACTTAGCATCAATACAACGGTTTATGTTTTCACGTCTAGGACAAGTAAATGTCATGTGAAAGCATTAGCAAATTGTTTTTATGTGCCTTAACACAGATGTTTGTGCAGTTATGATTGTTAGGTTGGACAGGACTGAATTTAGAACCACAAAGAGAATACATGAAAATATTTCCATTACAAAAATGAGCCACTCATGGGATGACCTCTAGCCCTCCATGACTCATCACTGGCACCAGCCAACGTAAGTCAACACAACTAAAACTTGCGTTTTAGGAGGCACACATCAAACAGTGGTGCATATGGCACCCACAAAGCACAATGGACATTTTTTGTATTAAACTAACAGATCATCTGTCATCACTGCGTCACACCCTTAAATCGTGATGACGGCATATCCTTACGCATACTGACTAGTGTTTCCCCTACCATTATCCAAGGAGGGCGCACCGTCCAATTAACAGAACTGAGCGCCCTGCCTATCACAATCACAACATCAGTTATGTAGTGCTCAGCTACCTCTGCCACCTCCCCAGAGTCAGTGTTTCTTTATTTGTCATTCGCACCACATGTGGTACTTGTGGTGGAACGAGATTGTGTACTCAGGGTCCCAGTTACATCCAACAATAAAATGTAAAAGAAAAACAGTAATAAGATCTAAGATATGAACTAAGAAAAACATGAACTAAAAATACGCTAAGAACTAATAGCATAAAAACAATACACCGAACAGCAGCACGAACATGAGTCTGTGTGAGCAGATGAGCACGAATGAACACATCAACATGGAACAAATCAGCAGCAACATGTGATTATTTTCACAGTGATTATTCTGGTTGGAGATTCATGAGTCTAACAGCCCCAGGGTAGAAGCTGTTCCTCAGTCTAGTGGTTCTACACTTAATGCTTCTCAACTTCCTTCCTGAGTGGAGCGGGGCAAAAAATCTATGTGCTGGGTGAGTGGGGTCCTTCATGATGCAGGTGTCCCTCTTCCTGCATCTGGAGGTGTAGATGTCTGTAACGGTGAGGAGGCTGATTCCAACAGTCTTCTGTGTGGCCTTCATCACTCTCTGCAAAGCTTTTCTTTCTGCAGCTGTGCAGCCCCCATGCCACACGATGCTGGAGCACAGCACTCAAACTTCCACAGGTGGACAAGCGCCCTGCCAAGGCGAGTAATGAAGTGGAAACACTGCTGATCGATTCACTCCTGTGACTACCTGCCTCAGCAGCTTGGAGCTATAACAGCAGCATCTCAGTCCTTACGTAAATCAAAGTAAGGGAAGAAAACATCTCAGGCCCAGCTTGTGGGTATTTTGTCAAAGGAACGTTAGTTTTCTCTGAAGTCTGTGCAGCAGAAATGTTGTAACCAGATCCACTGAGTCTGTGTGCATTTCAAACATTTGTAACTATCTACACTGAACCTAAGAACCACATCAATTCATCCTTCAATCATCTTTTACCCGTTTCTTACTTTTTGGGTCACGGGGGTCACTGGTGCCCATGTCCAGCCATCACTGTGTGAGAGGCTGGGTACAACCTGGACAGGTCGCAAGTCCATCACAGGGACACAGAGACAAATGAGACAAACAAACAATTCACTCTTTCACTCACACCTAGGGACAATTTAGAGTTACCAGTCAGCCTAACATGCATGTATTTGGTCTGTGGGGGGAAATCGGAGTATACATAGAAAACCCATGCATGCACGAAGAGAACATGCAAACTCCACCCAGAATGCCCCCCCGACTGGGATTCAAACGGGCGACCTTCTTGATGAGAGGTGGCAGCTCTACCATCTGCGCCACCATGCTGTCCCTACATCAACCAAAATAGAATAAATAAATAATATACAAATCAAGTAAAAGCAACATGGATTTTTGGTGTTATACTCAGCTCACCGACAAATTGATAGAATTGTAGATTGATTACTACATGCCCTTATTTGAGAAGCCGTATGCAAGATGTAGCAGGAACACAACCTAATGTGACTTGACAACTGGTTGGTGTACATGGAGAAAAGGACAGTGTCAAACCAACACTCCACATTAAATTTGATAATCTCATCTAAATGAACATTGTCATACAGAGAAAGTGAAACTGAACAGTTGAGGCACAAAGTGAACTCACATTTGTCTTGCTGTACCAGTCCATAAACAAATCATCGCTCTCTAAATTAACAGTAATATAGCACACATTAGCAAAGCAGGCACAGTGGAGTCCTCAAGTCTGTGTCTGCTAAACAGATTAAAGTCGTCTGGATCTCGACTCTCTCCAGTCTGCGGTGGTTCTGCCCAAAATATTGAGCTCACCACTTATTGAAATGGAGGATTCCTTTGTGCTTTCTCATCAAGGGATGATAAACCATCGATGGTAACAACGATAGGCCAATCATCCGAGACCACAGTGGAAACGGATTATCTGATATTGTTTTGAGCTCAGGAACTTAAAACGACTTCCAGTGTCCTTGTTCCTCAGCTAATCTGGAATCATGATTGGAAACAACATTTTAGAGTTTGGAATAACACTGGAGTGAAGGCCTAAGGACTTTTTTTGCAATATTATTGCAGGGAGTGGATGTGGAGCGTGTGGCATGGCAAGAACATTAGAGCCTGCGATGGACTCCAGACAGTCCCCACTGCCAAGCTAAACAGCAAGTCATGGGACCTGAACCCAAACAAGAGCTTTTCAAAGGCTAAGAGCTGAGAGACAGGTAGCAAAGATTGGGGTAAAAACTCGCACAGGGACCAGGAATATACTAACTAGACGTTTAAGGAAAAAAAAACGCAAAAGACCAAGGAAATAAAACAAATTTCCTTTTTTATTTCCTTTTGACATCTGAGCTTCCAAAATGGAAGTGAATCAGTAGAAGACAAGACCAATTTCTCTTGTCCCAAATAAACATTAAACTATAGCACATACATAAACTTGATCTTTGGCTCTGAAAGTAGTAAGATGTTGTATACTGCTTATACATTCTCAAAAACTCATTTCCTAGCTCTTCACTTTAAGTCACGAGGGGTAATGTTTATATAGCACTTCTCTATGAAATGAGACAGTCTTTCATAAATATGATATGCTGGTAAGTTGTTGCCAAAACCCCTTCATCAGATGTGCCATGTAACTAATTACCTGGTTTACATTTGATAGTTAAAGAAGATTGATAATGATGGTCCTCAGTCGGAAAAAGGTGGATTGCTCTCTTCGGATTGAGGGTGAGGTTCTGCCTCAAGTGGAGGAGTTCAAGTATCTCAGGGTTTTGTTCATTAGTGAGGGAAAAATGGACACAGATGAGACAGAGACAAAGCCCATGTCACGTCAAGGGGCCTCCCTCCCATTTTTTCTTAAAGAGACAAGCTTCTTGCTCCCTCACTATCCATCCTTCGGTTCAAACAGTCTTATACTGCCATCCCGTGGTCATAAAAAGTATTACACACAAAAATTAATCAACAATTCATCTTAAATTTGACATGACTAATTATTGTCAAATTTCAAACAATATTATCGTTTATCGCAATAATTTCTGAGACAATTAATTGCCCAGCAAAATTTGTTATCGTGACAGGCCTAGTCAATTGTACAGATTTTTAGCTAAAGTTTGGTGTGGTGGTAGCTAAAAGTCATGTCCAAGATGTTCTCTAAACATTAACATTCAAAACAGCCATCAAGTAGCTTTCCATCAAAAAATGAAAGTTTTATTTTCAGGTAAAATGTCTGCAACCTCGTATGCCAAATTTTTCGACAAAGTTCTTTTGGGATCTGTTGGCGCTTGAAGTACAAGTTGGAGATTACTCTCAGCTACTACCACACAAAATTTTAGCAAACCGTTTTAACATTTGCTAAGGTTGATTAGCTTTGGCGACTATCTCGAATCATCTTGTTGACTCCAAAAGTTAATCGATTATAGCTTACATCGACATACACATCCAGCAATTACTTTACAAAAGTTTCATTGAACTTATTGAAATACCTGCTTTTATTGCAGCAATTATTATGTGCCGGAGTAATAAGGAACCTTTTTCGTTTTCTAATGTAGGTTTAAAAAAAAAAAGGTGAGTCTGGTCTCTTTCATTGGATTTTTTTTTAAGACCAACATTGGATGTGTTTGCATTTCATGAGCCTCATGAATACAGAAGCAGCAATTTGTCCTTGCCATAGCACACAATCTGTATGTCCACACTCGTTTCAAACCAGCAATGCTATGGCGTGTCTAATCAAGTACCGAGTGCCATGAGGGTATGACTAATGAGAGCCATGTGATCTGCGTCCTAATCACCTCTTGTGTGTTTCTGAAGTGCCAGTAAGCTCTTTGCGCGAGCATTTTGCGTGTGTATCAAAATGTTGGAATGGTAATTGGTTTAGAGGGTGTTGCAGATGCATTTCCAGCCAGACTCACATCTAGTTCCCTTGGGAAGCATAAACCCTGTACACCTCTCAACACATCCATTGCTTTTCCAACTGGTGGCATTCTGAGGCTTGCCTCAACAAAATAATCTATGCAGCCAGCGAGAAGTGGTGGCTGCTGATATCATGAAATGAACTCTTAAAATCGCTACTGACCTCAGTGTTTACAGGGGGTTAGGAGGGGAGCGCGTAGGCGGGGGTGTTATGGCACTTTGAAGTTTTGACAGCCTTGCGTTTTGCAGCCTTACTTTCCTACACGAGTGAAGATGGATTGATGGTTAAATGTGGAAATGCTAGCACCGTATGGTATCTCGGGCTGTGGCCTTAAATAAAATCTGCGCTGCTCTTGTCATCAGTGGCTCCTTCTTGAACTCTCTGAAAAGAGCAAAAGTGGTGATTTTAGCAGCAAAGCTCACTGGTTACCTTTATAGCAAGTGAGCAATAGATTTTGGGAACTGTAAAAACATAGGAATGTAGTGAAGTCACCCTGCTGCTATTTCCCAAACTATAAATGTGACAGTTTCTGTGGAAAACATACCCTCTGTGGGTGTTTCTGCCCTGCCTTTCCCCTCCCGCTTGCCCATCAAACTCAGTTATAATTGGCCACTTTGCACAGTAAACATTTCGCCTTGAGCTTTAATCTGGCAGCCCACAAAGTTAACTTGAAGTTTAACCAACCAGGTGACCACGAGATGAGGATGAAAGGACCGTGAGGCCCAAAGTGGATGATTGCTGTGCTCTGATTTGTGACAAAACATGTCTGATACAAACATATAAAAACAAAGGCCAAGTGTTACTTTGAAGGAATGACTGTCATCTACTACCACACCAACATCAACTCAAAATCTGTACAATTTATCGAGATATTGTCACGTTTGTGTGGGCTAATGTTGATTATCTGAGGCAGCCATCTTTAACTAGGATAACTCCAAAAGTTTATTAATTGTATGTTTAACCAATGAACAATTTCTGAAACTTTCGTAGACATATGTCCAGTGGTTCATGATATTTTGCTAACAGACAGACACAGCTGATTCCAACAGTTAATTGCAAAGTCTTAAATCTTGCAGGACAAAGTAGTCCTGCAAGTGCTTGATGGGGATTGATCTCGGCGACTACAACAAGTTTTAGTTCAATATCAGTAAAATTGACTAACAGAAGTTTATGCGTTTGCTTCAATTGCTTTGCTGTGGCAGCCATCTTGAATTGGGTTGATTCCAAAAGGCAATCAGTTGTACATGTCAACCTAGTGATTTTTTTCATAATGATGGTACAAACATGCTAAAAAAACATCATACTATCCTTTTATTTGTGATTTGTTTGTATCTCTTAAAAAATTCTGGCATTGGATCCCAACCCCAAGAACCAAAATAGATTTTCAAAGAGCCACTAAAGGCATAATTGAGAGTTGGTCTTACTTGGAGCTTAAGCATCGTCTGAGGGAGTAGGAGGCTCCACCGCCACAGGTACGTGAGCATTCACTCCATGAGCCCCAGGCGTCCCACAGCGTGTCCCGGTCTTCTTCTGATCGGACCGTCCGTGAGCTCTACACACCGGAGAAAAGAAAAGGTTGTCGGCCTTAAAAACCCCTTAAAGTCACGATCAACTCAAATCTCAGATCAAGGCCTCGAGTCACTGACAGGTTGAGTCCAGATTGTCACATCTGGATATGTAAAATGGAAATGTGAGCTTAAAAACGAAAGAGTTTCAGAGAAATACATGTTAACAGTTGAGTCACAAAAGAAAGCACTTTCATTACATTAGGCTTTGAGAAAGAAGAGTTTTTGTGACTGAATGAAAGAGGAAGTAATCAGGCAATCGTTCTTGACTTCTGGCCATTTTGCATATATTAAACAACCGAGTCAAACTTTAGATAATGAAAAATATATATAATTTTTTTTTTGTTTAGTTCAGGCCACACTGTTAATTGCATTGTGCTGTGTTTGGCACTGGAGTTGGGAATATTACCAGAGAGCCCAAAGTCAATATTATGAGAGGACAGTGCACATATTGGATGTAAAGAAACAGCCAAAATCAGAAGATCGTCTCGATGTCCTCCATCTTATTCTGCTCCAACTTTCCTCTCCTGGTTCTTTGTATTTTTGAGGGAGGACTAAACTGAAGAAAACGATCTGGATTATTTAGGTGTGTATAAAAAAAATTATACTGTAATTCTCGATCTTGGCTTTACAAGGCAGTCTCCATCCTGTTTTTCTTTTTTTTTTACTGAAAGAAATCGGAGCTAAATTGGAGGAAAACTGAGCTCACGTTGAGACCTTCTGCCATTTTGAACAAAGACAACTTAACTTGATGGCCTGTGGCAAAGGAAAAACTGTTTATAACTTCTGAATGGATGAAACATTGGAAAAATAATTACATATATATAAAAAAAAGGACTGTGGGACAAATCATCCACCTCTTATGTGGATTTGAATGTGGCTCAGTAGAGCTGAGGTGAGAACATGTATAACAAGAGTACCGTATACGGCACATTATACGCCCATTGACAAACTCCTATACAACAATCTATAGAAATGGCCCAGACAAGCAAACACTTTGTATAACATTTGACCTTGTCAATGGAGCTGGGGTGATGAAAAGTGTATGAAACACTCGGTCTAGTGAAGATGCATGTGTGTGTATATGTAATGCACAATTGGTTGTAGGATCTGGTGACGTGTCAACTCTTGGAATACGTGTTGAAGTTGACTCTCGGCTACTAGGTTTGGGTTCAGTTTCTGCTCTGATGATTAGTACCAACCAAGTTGACAAATCAGAATTATTTTAAGGACTACATCCCGAAAAAGAGAGAAAACTTAATTATTGGTAAAGTGTTTTGACCTCTTCAGGCCCTTTCTCCTACAGTGCGGAACTGTGCTTTGTCCACAGAGATGAATGGCTCTCACAAAGGAAAGCAGATACGTGGCAATATTAGACCACTGGTTATTTTCTTTGGGTCACCGTAGCAAAAACATTTGTGCTGTACAGAAACGGAGCGGGGTGGTGGGTTTGCGTTATAAAAACTGCATGTGGACTGATATAAATGACCGTCGGGACTGATGACCCTTGAAGAACAGCACAGTGAGACTCAAACAAAGCCAGTGGAGCATTCAGCCAAACATGTAGGCAGCAGTGCTACTTTCTGCAAGATCCAACTATTTCAGTGTTTGGATCGCAGTAAATAAACACAGGCTGTGCACTGGGCAACTGCTTTCCTCACGACCTTCATTCTTCTTTGAAAGGCAATCGGGGAATTTTGCACCCAATTACAACTACGCCTGGTGAAGCAAGAGGGAGTGGAAGTGGATGAAAGATGAAGAGTTGTTTGGCTGGCCGTGCTGCTATTGTTCTGAATGGAGGAGGAGGAAGACGAGGCTTTGCATGTTGGAGAGCCATCCCTTCTGGCAATTGGGTTCAGTAATCAAAAGGCTCAGATATCCACTCAGAGTCTTTCATCTTTCATCAACATAAACTTTCATCACCACATGTCCCACCTCTGCTGATCAGATCCCCCCCGGTTTATATTTACACTGGCTGGCTTTGTGAAAGGAGACAGAAGCATTTGATACCAGAACAGACCTCACACATGACTCACTTATAATTATTAATTATTTAATTATACACTAATTTTCAGTCCAGTAGGCTACCTGACCATTTGCTGATGAATCTTGCATTGTTTGTTAACACACTCCAAAACAAACAACTTGGCAAAAAAAACTATTTGAAATTGGACATCTTATTAGAATCTAGCAAAACTAGAAACTAAAATACAATTTGTTGTTGAAAGTCCCATTTGTAATATACAGTAGGTAGCAAGTGCATTTGATAGTTCTTAATAAAATAGTAGTTATTTAATACAGTAGTTATATTTAAAAACATATCCAATTTAATTTAACTACTACTTCAGCTAGTTTCTAATGAAGTTACTAGCTAGCTAGTATTTTAGATAAGTTTTAAATTTGGCCTTTCATTAGAAACTAGCTAGCTAGTTTTCAATAAAAATACTAGCTCACTAATACTTTAGCTAATTTGTATTAAACATACCACCTCATTAATACTTTAGCTAGTTTTGAATAAAAGATTAATTTTAAAATTTGACTACAACCAGTCTACATGTGCTTTGTGGACTTGGAGAAGGCGGTCGACCGCGTCCCTCGGGGGGCCCTGTGGGGGGTACTCTGAGAGTATGGGGTACCGGGCCCTTTGATACGGGCTGTTAGGTCCCTGTATGACCGGTGTCAGAGCCTGGTCCACATCGCCGGCAGTAAGTCGGGCTTGTTCCCGGTGAGAGTTGGTCTCCGCCAAGGTTGCCCTTTGTCACCGATTCTCTTCGTAACTTTTATGGACAGAATTTCTAGGTGCAGCCAAGGTGTTGAGGGGATCCGTTTTGGTGGCCTTAGGATTGTGTCTCTGCTTTTTGCAGATGATGTGGTCTTATTGGCTTCATCAGATCGTGATCTACAGCTTTCGCTGGAGCGGTTCGCAGCCGAATGCGATGCGGCCGGGATGAAGATCAGTTCCTCCAAATCCGAGGCCATGGTCTTGAGCCGGAAAAGGGTAGAGTGCCCTCTCCGGGTCAGGGAGGAGGTCCTACCCCAAGTGGAGGAGTTCAAGTATCTTGGGGTCTTGTTCACGAATGAGGGAAAAATGGAGCGTGAGATCGATAGGCGGATAGGTGCAGTGTCTGCAGTGAAGCAGGCGCTGTACAGGTCTGTCGTGGTGAAGAGAGAGCTGAGTCAAAAGGCGAAGCTCTCAATTTACCGATCGATCTACGTTCCCACCCTCATCTATGGTCACGAGCTTTGGGTTGTGACCGAAAGAATGAGATCTCGGATACAAGCGGCCGAAATGAGTTTTCTCCGCAGGGTGTCTGGGCTCTCCCTTAGAGACAGGGTGAGAAGCTCGATCATCCGGGAGGGACTCAGAGTAGAGCCGCTGCTTCTCCACGTCGAGAGGAGCCAGTTGAGGTGGCTTGGGCATCTGTTTAGGATGCCTTCTGGACGCCTCCCTGGTGAGGTGTTCCGGACACGTCCCACCGGAAGGAGGCCCAGAGGAAGACCCAGGACACGCTGGAGGGACTATGTTTCTCGGCTGGCCTGGGAACGCCTCGAGATTCCCCCGGAAGAGCTGGCCCAAGTGGCTGGGGAGAGGGAAGTCTGGGCCTCCCTACTTAGGCTGCTACCCCCGCGACCTGACCCCGGATAAGCGGAAGAAAATGGATGGATAGTTTTGAATAAAAGATTAATTTTAAAATTTGACTAGTAAATACTTTTGCTTTATTTTCATTCACTACTACATTTGCTAGTTCTTAACAAACAAAATTTGGCTTGTTAGTACTTTGGCTAGTTTCTACTGAAGTTACTAGCTAATTAGAAGCACATAAGTCCCTCGCTACTTCGTGGTTTGTCTTTCACGGACTTATTTCATGGATTTTCAACGCAAGATTGTACATGACACACAATTGGCTGATTGATGGAAGGTGACCAACCAGAGCATTGTGCTCTGTATCCTGGGCGCTGATAGGCTCAGTAACCATAGCATCAGTTTGTCTGCTCTCTTTTGCAAGAGCACAGCAAAAGAGAGAGAAAGACATTTGTTATTATTATTTTGCAATAGTGTACAGTACAAATACGTATGTTTTTAAAATTATGTAGGTTTAAGAGTTTAGAACATTGCAAGTGTGTGGGGTTTATAAAGCCTTCGTGTATATATATATATATATATATATATATATATATATATATATATATATAAAAACATTAAAATAAATATAACGTCCCTACTTTGCAGATTTTTAACTATTGTGGGGGTGTCAGGAATGCAACGCTTGCGATAAGTGAGGGAACACTGTATCTCAAAAAGATCCCACTTAAAAGCTATTTTTAGCTAACTAGTACTTTAGCTAGTTTATAACAGACATAGCCTACTAGCTAGTTAAAATTTTATCTGTATTTTTATAAAAAATATTGGGTTAGCTAGCACTTAAGCTAATTTCTACCAATGTTACTAGCTAGCTAGTACTTTAACTACTTTCAAATTAACTTATTAGCTAGCTAGTACCTAAGATAGTTGCAAATTAATGTACTAGCTAGCCAATACTTTAGCTAGTATCTATTGAAAGTTCTAATTTAAAATCAAAGCAGTTAGCAATTTAGCTAATTTCTAAAGAATGATCCAGTTTAAAATCTGGCAGGTTCAAATTAAATCACTTTGTTTTTTTCTTATTTCTTTAGTTGAGACTATAAATGATACCAACAATAGATCTGACAGCAAAACTACTGACTAATAAGTAGCAATTAGCTAGTACTTAGTTGCTAATTTTGCTAGTTACTCGCGTCAAAGACGATATTTTTCTCATCTCTTGTTTTGAATCAATAAAAGTATCACAGTCCTTTCAATGGTTTTAGATATAGGCTACTGTACAAGGACTGGACAAACAGCTAAATCTCAAAGATAAAACATTTAAAAAAACCTTTTAAAAATAACAACAGGAAACTACCATTACTTTAAAGGATTACAAGAATGTGCGGCTCCTTGTAAATGAAG